CTCATCTCAGGAGCAGATGTGGCGGAGGCAAAGGAATTGGGAATAGGGGATGGCATTCTTGCAGGAAGGTGGGTGAGAGGAGGTGTATTCTAGGTAGCTGTGGGAGTCGGTAGGATTGAAATAGACATCGGTTTCAAGGTGGTTGCCATAGATGGAGACAGAGAGGTCCAGGAAGGAGAGAGAGTTATTGGAGATGGTCCAGGTGAACTTAAGGTTGGGGTGGAAGGTGTTAGTAAAGTTGGTGAACTGTTCGAGCTCCTAGTGGGAGCGCGAGGCGGCGCCGATACAGTCAGTCATCGATATAGCGGAGCAAGAGGTGGGGAATGGGGCCAGTGTAGCTGCGGAAGAGGGACTATTCCACGTATCCACCTTCATTTGTATTGTTCTATTTGATGCTGAGAAATCTTTTAATTATGTAATCATTGCATTCCCATGTTTGCCTACATCAACTTCAAAGATCTTACCTCTCTGGACCTCAAATTTAGTTCATCTGCTACTGAAATCCACACTGTGCCTTAAAATTGTGAAGTGTGGAGATAACTAATACTTTCCTGACCAGTCATTCATCATCCACCCTCCACAAATTTGAATCTAAGCATAAAAGTTGATGTTAACAACATTGATCAACAATCAATAGAAGGAATCATCATAAAGTTAATTACTTGCTCAGTTTTGGCTCTTTCAAACCACTTGGCTCGGATTTATCGTACCTGCGTCCAGACATGAATACAAAACTAGAATGCTGATAAGAGTGATGAGATCAGCTGCCTTGGGCAGCACTAGAACCAACATGGCACCAATGTAGCTTAACAAAACCTAGTCAATGGGGCTGAAAAGGGAAAACCTCGAGAAACTGGAGTCATAGTAAAGAAGCAAATGGTTGTGATTTTCAGGAACCAATCACTGCAGCTAAAAACATCACTGTATGAATAACTTCAAAAAGCATTTTCATGACTGCCACCTTCAGCTCCTATGCCAGAAATCTCCCCTTCATCATAACTCAAGAAACTGGTGTTGAAATAATCTATCGGGAGTTCTTTGAGGCAGTAGCATATGTTGTGGGTAAAAGGGGAACTGGTGGGTACACTGAGAATTTCAGGAAAAAAATTGATAAAATGTTACATAAAAAGTTTATTGTGAAAGTTATAAAGTTCATGGTGTAGGGGCCACATATTAGCATGGATAGCAGATTTAATAGCTAACAAAAAAAAAAAGACTGTAGACATAAATGACTCAGAGGTAGCAAGAACTGCAGATGCTGGAGTCAGAGCTAACACAGTGTGGAGCTGAAGGAACAGAGCAGGCCAGGCAGTATCAAAGGAGCAGGAAAGTTGACATTTCGGGTCGGGACCCTCTTTCAGAAATGGGGAGGAGGAAGGGAGCTGGGAAATAAATAGCGAGAGGAGGGGTGGGCTGGGGAAGGTAGGTGGGATGGTGATAGGTGAGTGTAGGTAGGGAGTGGTGGGGATTGGTCAGTGAGGTGGGAGAGAAGATGGACAGATTGTGTCAGGTCAAGGAGGCGGGGATGAGAGGGAGGGTTGGAAATGGGATGAGGCCGGGGGTGGGGAGATTTTAAAACTGGCAAAATCCATGTTTTGGCCATCGGGATGTAGGCTCCCGAGGCGGAATATGAGGTGCTGCTCCTCTAGTTTGCAGGTGGCGTCATTGTGACGCTGGTGGAGGCCCAGGTTGGACACGACACCCAGGGTGGGGGAGTAATTAAAGTGGTTGGTGACCGGAAGATGTTGTTGTTTGTTGCATACAGATCGAAACCCTCTTGTTCTCACATATCACCCCACCAACGTCTGCATCCAGCGTATCATTCTCCGTCACTTACAATCCAACCCCACAAACAAACAGATATTTCCCTCCCCATCCTAATTGCCTTTCGTAGGGACTGCTCTCTCCACGACTCCCTCATTCGCTCCACACTCCCACAAACCCACCGCACCCGGCACCTGTCCCTGCAAATGCAGGAAGTGCGACACCTGCCCCCACACCTCCCCCCTCACCTCCATTCAAGACTCAAAACAAATCTTTCACATCAGACAGGGGTTCACCTGTACATCCATCAACTTGGTCTACTGTATCTACATTGGCGAGACCAAACATAAATTTGGAGACTGTTTCGTAGAGCATCTGCGCTCTGTACATGAAAATCAGCAACACCTTCAGTCGCCAACCATCTTAACTACCCCTCCCACTCCCTGGGTGACATGACCATCCTGGGCCTCCTTCAGTGTCACAATGACACCACCCGCAAACTGGAGGAGCAGCATCTCATATTCCGCCTCAGGAGACTACAGCCTGATGGCCTAACATGGAATTCACCAGTTTTAAAATCTCCCCACCCCCGGCCTCATCCCATTTCCAACCGTCCCTCTCATCCCCGCCTCCTTAACCTGATACAACTTGTCCAGCTTCTCTCCCACCTAACCGTCTCACTCATCCCACTGATCAATTCCCACCACTCCCTACCTGTACTCACCTATCACCATCCCATCTACCTTCCCCAGCCCCATCCCTCCTCTCTATTTATTTCCCAGCTCCTTCTCCCTCCCCATTTCTGAAGAAGGGTTCCGACCCAAAATGTCAACTTTCCTACTCCTCTGATGCTGCCTGGCCTGCTGTGTTCCTCCAGCTGCATATTGTGTTGTCTGTAGGCATAAATGGGTCTTTTTCAGGTTGGTGAGATGTAACAAGTCGTGTGCCATAGGGATCAGTACTGGAATCTCAGCTGTTCACAATTTATATAAATGACTCGGATGAAGGGATGGAGGGTATGATTGCCACATTTGCTATGATACAAAAGTAGATAGGAAAGTAAGTTGTGATGAGGACAGTAGGAAGCTACAAATAGATTAATTGAGTCGGCAAAAATCTGGCAAATGGAGTATTATGTGGGGAAATGTGGAATTCTTTATTTTGGCAAGAGAAAAAGCAGTATGCTATCTAAATGGTGAATGCTCGCAGAGTGAGATGCAGAAATGATCTCACATCCCAGGGTATAAAATCACAAAAGGTTATACTGTATATATAGCAGGTAAGTAGGAAAGTTAATTGAATGTTATCATTTACAGTGAAGGAAATTAAACACAATAAAGGAGGGAGGTCATGCTGCAGTTATACAAGTTACTGGTGAGGCCATTTCCTAGAGTGCTTCATCCAGTATTCAGGAAGGATGTAAACTGCAACTGGAATCAGGTCAGTTAGAGTTGACCACAGTAATACCTGGAATGGTTGGTTGTCTTATGAGGAAAGACTGAACAAGCTCAGTGTATACCTGGAGTTTAGAAGAACAAAGGGTGACTTGATTGAAACATAAGATCCTAACAGGTCTTGATAGGTTGCATACAGACAGGATGTTTCCTCTAAGAGGCAATTCAAGAACTAATTTAAAAATAAAGGGACACCCATTTAAAAAAAAGAAGAGATGAGGCAATTTTGTTTTTCTCTCAGAGGGTCATCAGTCTTTACAACCCACTCTTTGAAAAAGTAGTAGTCCTTGGATATTGTTAAAGCAGAGGTAGATATATTCTGAGGAAGGGTCACCAGACCCGAAACGTTAACTCTGATTTTTTTCTTCACAGATGCTGCCAGACCTGCTGAGCTTTTCCAGCAAGTTCTGTTTTTGTTCCTGATTTACAGCATCTGCAGTTCTTTCAATTTTTATTGGATATATTCTTGTTAAGCAGGAGGTGAAGAAATATCAAGATAGGTGGGAATATGAATTTGAGGTTACAATCAGATCAGTGATGATCTTTTTCAATGGTGCAAGAGGCTCGAGGAGCCAAATGGCCTACACCCGGGTCCCCATTTGTATATTTCCATAGGCCTCATGCTCCCAATATTTCCTTAGTCTTCCCTTACAAGATCGCAAAGAGGAATTCAGATACAAAAGTCTATTTTAGGTGTACAATGACTTTTATACCCTCCAGATCATGTTGTTGTATAGTTAGATATTGGACAATATAGGCAAACTTCTCAATGTAAAACAGTCATTGTGTTTATAGAAGTTAACAGTCAATTGTAATCAGGGCAGGACTCACATTTGTAAAACACACACTGTCAGACATTTCAGTCCAGAAATTACACAAAAATATGATACTGAGTAGAACAGAATCATCAATTCAGATCATTATTTAAATTTCAATGACACCCTTAACTCAAGGGAAGTTGGATACAAAAGGCAAGATAAGAGTGACACCAGGATGTTGTAAATGACAATACTTTAAACAAAAATGTGATCATTTAGAATGATGATACCAGAGTATTTACTTTTGTTATCTGTACACGTGCTTATAGAAATAGATTTACTTGTGCAAATAATTTCAAATAGAAGTCACTAGTGATTAACATAACACATGCTAGAATAAGTACATAATACAGCCAACAACAAAAAAAAACTGCAGATGGAGGAAATCTGAAACAAAAACGAACTGATGGAAAAGCTCAGCATGTCTGGCAGCATCTGTGGAGAGAAAGGTGACTTAATGTTTTAAGTCCAGTGACTCTGCTTCAGAAATAGGTTTGAAGAGGAGTCACAGTTCTGAAGAAGGCTCACTGGACTCGAAATGTTAACTCTGATTTCTCTTCACAGATGCTGTCAGAGCTGCCGAGTTTTTCTAGCAATTTCTGTTTTACTTACAAATTCAGCCATTCATGGACAGCATGAAGTGATTTTTAAAATGTTTGTTCACAGGATGTGAGAGTCACTGATATTTATTGTCCGTCACAAATTGTCCAGAGGGTTTTGAGCCATGTGTAGACAGACCACGTCAGGACAGCAGATTTTCTTTCCTATCAGCTGGGTTTTAGGGCAATCAATCAACAGAGGTTACGTGGTTGCCATTCCGTTAGCTTTGTTGTTGAATTCAAGTTTCATCATCTGCAAGATGAGATTTGAACTAGTCTAGTGGCATTATCACCATGCTACCCCTTCAGAGTGACTGCCCCACTTCTGCCAGCATTTAAGTAGAGACTAAAATAAATTGCATTCAATACTTGGTGGTGATACCTGAAGGACTGTACTGCATCAGTTCAAACTTAGTCGTGTCACCTGAAAGAAAAGAATAAAACCTCAGTTTTGGCACTCAAATAAACAAACAAACAAATCCTTATACAAAATTGCAGGATCATAGCTTTGCATTTTGAAGACAAAAAGGACAAACAAAAGCAATTATCTTATTTGTGCTGCATACACACTTTATACAGTACATGGATGACATTATTTTGTGGATTACTGTCATATAAAAACTCTATTTCAACACACAACCCTGAAATGATCAGAATGATGCATGTTTCATTTCTAAACTGAAGAATGTTTTCATTGGTGACAATACCCTCCTTATTTCTTGATCCACAACATCTACTGAAGTGTCATCTCAATTTTAAAATAATTCAAAACTTGCGTCAAAGTTAATGTGTGCAGAATGAAGTCACGTAGCACCCATGCTGTCTGTATTATGGGCGTCATTTGTGTCCAAAGTAACGTCATATGGGTGTGCACGCAGTTCTACTGCAGGCCATGACAGATGCCACTGCCCCTGCTAGGAACATGTATTGGAACAATGCAGCTTAAGATATTAATCAGCATGGAACTCTGGTGTCATGTTGGCAGCAGCACTGTTTTTTACATCGATGCTCCAGCTAATATCGTCACTTAACCTCGTGCAGCATGCATTCAACATCAGAAAGAGCTCCCCCCAACCAGCGCAATTTAAAGGAATCATCAATTACTTTCAAGTGAATTGCTCAATATTTCTTCAGGTTGTTGCTGAGTTAGTAGAAGCCTTTTGTGGTTTGCATTGCTACTTATAGTTGTTGATATCTTCAGAGGTTGGTGTGGCACAAAGTGCAGGCGCTGGTTCTAACTTCAAGTTCTGCTCAAAATCATTGCTCCCAGACATGGGTGCCTTAGTTACTATCCAACTTTGTCTGCAGACTGACAGAACCAAGCAGACAGCAGACTTCTGGACCTGGTAACGTGCCATTAGACAGAATTAACAACTAACCTCATGGTAATGGAGTCTCTAGGTAGCAGTGATCATAACATGACTGATTTTAGCTTGAGCATTCAATTTGAGGGTGAGAATTGAAAGATTTGTGTTTTGAACTTAAATTAAGAGAATTATAAGGATATGAAGAGCTGATTAAATGCCAACTGGGAAGTTGGATTAAAAGGGTAGGGCTGTTAAAATGCAATAGCAGACATGTAAATTGATATTTTGCAACTCTCAGCAAAGAATCTAATATGAAGGCTGGACCATTTGTGGCTAATGAAGTAAGTTAATGAGAACGGCAAATTGAAAGAAAAAGTACTATTCTGTAAAGGTTAGTGGTAGGTCAGAAGATTGGCATAATTTAAAGCCCAACAAAAATTAGCAAGAGTTTCACCAAGTATTTTAAAAAAAGGAAAGAATGAAAAAAGAGTGGAACTAAAGCACTTTCCACTTAGACAGGAGGAATAGAAATGCAGTATGGCTTTAAATAGAGAGACTGAAAAACTCTGCAATAAGAGCTCAGTGGTACATAAATCACAAAATATTGGTATTGAAGTTATTTGGAAAGCAACTAGAATGTTGTCATTTATTGAAAAGGGAATGGAATATAAATGCAGATAAACTTTGCTGCAGCAGCATAGGGCATTGGTGAGACCACATTGTTAATATATTTTCAATGCCTCCATACAGATTCTCCTGAAAGCTGTCAAGTAGGGAAGGAAAGTCTTTTTTTCTTATGGATGGCAGCAAAAGGCCAGGCCTTTTTTCACAGGGGTAGTCTGGATTGAAGTGGCTAGAGTGTATGTATCACTGTAATCCACATCCATGTGGATAGTGGATAAGGAGAACCACCAATTCGACTGGGACAACACCAAGATCCTGAGACAAGCAAAGCAGAGACAAACATGAGAATGCCTAGAAGCCTGGTACTCCACGAAGAAAGGCATCAACAAACACATAGAACTCGACCCCATATACACTCCACTGCCAAGGAAAACCGGAGTGAGGTAATCCAGCTCAATGGGCTCCAGAGTTTTAAAACCAGGCGGGAAAACACAACCATGCTTCATCGGAGGCTGCACTGATGATGTTATCCAGCAGGGTAATGAAACGTCTGCGGAAAAACAACGAACCAGCTCAGTGAGCCAACCAACCACAACAAGTGAATTCTATCATATTATGGTCACTGCCCCCTAGGTGTTACATTACCTCAAGGTCTCTAATCAAGTCTGCCTCATTACACATCACCAAATCTAGAATTGCCTATGGTATCCAATTGGTTGAGAAGTTTGGAGATGGCTAATCAAAGACTGTTTCTTGGAACGTAGATTGCTTTTGCTTTTATTGTACTGGTCTGGCTACCAGCAGGTTTGGTTCAGCACTCCCATTTGGTTCAGTCCCAAAGCTGGTGGGAAAATTCTGTCCAAAGTTGGTGTCATGTGTGCTGTACACAGGCATATTAAACAGAAAAAGTACTGCAATATCTTGGAAATCATTGCTCAAACGTTATCTCAGTTAAATTCAAATAAAATGCCATTTTCTCTATTTTTAACAATGCGCAACCCTGCATAAGAAAGGAAGACTGAAGACTGAAGGAGAACTTCAGTCAAAACAGAACAAGATAATTCTGCCCAGTCATCCAGTGTTACAAACTATGGAGGTGCCAGTATTGGACTGGGGCGGACAAAGTCATAAGTCACATGATGCCAAGTTATAATCCGACAGGTTTATTTGAAATTACAAGCTTTCGGAGGGCTGCTCCTTCGCCAGGGGAAGTGAGCTGATGAAGGACCAGCACTCAAAGTTTACGATTTCAAATAAACTTGTTGGACTAAAACCTGGTAGCGTGTACTTCTGACAGTGTCACGAACTGGCATCCCAAAGTGCATCAATCCAATACCACAGCATTAAGTTTTATTTATTTTGTACTTGTTAGGACAGACATAATAAATACTAGAAAACTTGAAGTATATTTCTAACTGTAATAGGTCTTGTAACTAATCAGGACTAGTAAAACTTTTAGATGGGCTCTCTCAAGCTCCATCTATAATTGCAATTGGGCTCTTGTGGCTCAGCAGCAGTGTCCCTGCCTCTGAGTCAGAAGGACGGGGTTCAAGTTCCATCCACCCCAAAGGTGCGTCATAATATATCTGACTAGGTTCTTTAAAGATATCTACAATTGTCATTAACTTAGGGCTTACAATTAGCATTAAAGTGAACCTTGATATGTTATAAAGGGTTAGGCACAAGGAGTGAGTTATAGAGCCATGGAGTCACAGAGCTGTACACAATAGAAACAGACCCTTCAGTCCAACTTGTCCATGCTGACCAGATATCCTAAATTCATCTAGTCCCATTTGCCATTATTTGGCCCATACCCCTCTAAACCCTTCCTCTAATTGTACCAGCCTCCACCACTTCCTCTGGAAGCTCATTCCATACACGCACCAACCTCTGTGAAAAAATTGCCCGTTAAGTCCTCTTTAGACACTTTCCCCTCTCACCTTAAACCTATGCCCTCTAGTTTTGGGCTCCCCCATCCCAGGGAAAAGACCTTGGCTATTTACCCTATCCATGTCCCTCATGATTTTATAAACTTTTAAGGTCATCTGTCAGCCTCCGATGCTCCAGAGAAAATAGCACCAGCCTATTCAGAACCTCCCTGTAGTTCAAACCCTCCAACCCTGGTAATATACTTGTAAATCTTTTCTGAACACTTTTGAATTTCACAACATCCTTCCTATTGCAGGGAGACCAGAATTGCATGCAATATTCCAAAAGTGACCTAACCAATGTCCTGTACAGCTGCAACATGACCTCCAAACTCCTATACTCAATGCACTGACCAATAAAAGCAAGCACACCAAACGCCTTCTTCACTATCCTGTTTACCTGGGACTCCACTTTCGAGGAACTATGAACCTGCAGTCCAAGATCTCTTTTTTCAGCAACACTCCCCAGGAACTTACCGGTAAGTGTATAAGTTCTGCCCTGATTTGCCTTTCCAAAACATAGCACCTCACATTTACCTAAATTAAACTTCATCTGCCCGTCCTCAGCCCAAACCTTGCAGCTTAACGTCAAGAACTCTAATGATGAAATCAAATTTGAGCTATGTCAGTTCTATCTTACATAGTGTAATTTTGTTTATTTCTTTTCTTTTGAAAGAAAGTTGTTCAATTTAACACAAGGCAGCACTTTTCATAAAATTTATTACAGTTCAAAATTTCACTCTTGCATAGGAGGTTGAGAGGCAACATCATAAACGTTTATAAAATAATGAGGGTAATATGTACAGTTAATGGTTATTGTCTTTTTCCTAGGATGGGGGATTTGAAGACTAGGGGGCACATTTTTAAGGTGAGAAGAGAGAGATTTAAAAAATACATGAGGGTGGTTCGTGTGTGTAATAAACTTCCAGAGGAAGTGGTGGATGTGGGTAAAGCTACAACAACTAGAAGACATTTGGATAAGTACATGAATAGGAAAAGTTTGAGGGATATGGGCCAGGAGCAGGCAGGTGGGACTTTTAGTTTGGGATTATGTTTGGCATGGACTGGTTGGACCGAAGGGTCTGTTTCCATGCTGTATGACTCTGTGACTATGACTATATTAGAAATCAACTTAATGAATTCTTGAACTCTCACAACAAATTAATTGTAATGATGTTTTGTTTTTGCATTCAATAATGAAAATACCAGTTATAAGTTTTTCACAGGCATTAATACTTTTGTTTGAAGTCTGCCATTAAAGAATTAATGATGTTCTACATACATTCCAAGAAGGCAGCAACATCTGCAGGGTCAACAACATCTTTTCCAAACACCTGTTAATGAGAAAGTAAGCATGAGAAAGTGACAAATATTATATATGAAGACTTAATACAAAGCATGTGGTCCAGACAAAACCAAGTAACATCATTGGTATAGCTGGTAACATGTTATGATCCAAGTTAATGTCATTAAGAGACAAGTCAGATCCCTGGCTGAAATCTGGATTGATAGATCATATTTGATATTTTTCCCCCAAAGAAAAAGGTCTTTCACTGAAACATAGACTCACAATGCTGCAGATTCAGTTTTTACAATAAAACAGAAAGACATTATACTCAAAAACAACTATTTGCATATAATACAGATTCTAAGGTTTTGAAACGCAATCCCACTAAGCCCAAAAACACTTCTTTACAGTGTGCACAAACACACACCATAGTGTCAGTCAAACAGCATGGAAATAGACCCTTCAGTCCAAATAGTCAACACCAACCATGTTTCCAAACTAAACTAGTCTCACCTATTTTTCTCCTTTACTCATTCATGGGATGAGGGCCTTACTGGCCAGGCAGCATTTGTTACCCATCCCTAATTGCCCAGAGGACAGTTAAGAGTCAACCACATTGCTGTGGGTCTGGAGTCACATGTAGGCCAGACCAGGTAAGGATGGCAGTTTCCTTCCCGAAAAGGGGCATTACTGAACCAGATGGGTTTTTCCTGACAATCGACACTCGATTTGTGGTCATCATTAGACGCTTAATTCCAAATATTTATTGAATTCAAATTCTACCATCTGCCATGGTGGGATTTGAACCCAGGTCTCTGGGTTAACAGTCCAGTGACGGTACCACTAGGCCATTGCCTCCCTACCCGCCTGCACTTGGCCCATATCCCTCCAAACCTTTCCTTTCCTATTCATGTACTTATCCAAATGTCTTTAAAATGTTGTATCTGTACCCATCCACCACTTATATTGGTAGTTCATGCCAAACATGAACCTCTGTAAAAAAGTTGCCCCTCGTCTACTTTTTAAAACTTTCTCCTCTCACCTTAAAAAATATGCCCCCTAGTTTTCAACTCCCCCAACTTAGAGAAAAGACCTTTGCTATTCACCATATCTATGCCCCTCATGATTTTATAAACCTGTATAAGGTCATCCTTCAACCTCCTACGCTCCAGCCTATCCAACCTATTTTTATAACTCAAACCCTCTTTCCTCAACAACATCCTGATAAATCTTTTCTTAAACCGCTCCGGTTCTCCTATAACATGGCAACACAGAACTGCACACTATACTCCAGAAGCGGCCTCACCAACATCCTCAGCAAGCATCCCAACTTCTATACTCAATGGTCTGAGCAATGAAGGCAAGCGTGCTGTCCACCTATGAAGCAAATCTTATATCTGATAAATTACTCTGTTTACCTTGTTCTGTCAAAATCTCCAATGTAAACAAAGCCCCATTCCTCCTCAGTTAAGTCGCTGTCTCTGTTTTAAGAGAAATCATCATGGCCACAGAAATGCTCAAGTTAATTATGAAATCCCTTTGGATGCACAGACCACATTCACATACCGTTAGTTCAGAATCCTAACTCTAAAATAAATAGAGCCCAAAAGAGAGAGAACAAGCTGGAAGAACACCACCTCATTTTCTACTTGGGGACCCTGCAGCCCTCTGGACTCAATATCGAGTTCAGTAATTTTAGACATGAATTCCTGGCCTAGCCCCCTACCTCACACACCAGATCTTGTTGTCACATAGCCTGCCATTACACACTACCTATTGTTAGCCACTAACATTAACAGCTATTCACCCTCCTAGCCAGACCGTTACCAACTCCTTTATCTACTCAACTGTCTTCTCTCTTTGGGCTCTATCCCCACCCATCATTTACTCCTTAACCCCTTCCCCAACCCTATCTTCTGCATATAAACTGACATTTTCCTAGCTACCATCTTTTCTGAGGAAGGGTCACTGGAACCAAAACGTTAACTCTGATTTTTCTTCACAGATGTTGCCAGACCTGAACTTTTCCAGCAACTTCGGTCTTTGCTCTTTTGCTAGACTTGATTTGATTAGTGACAAACGCATTGCTCAAGGGTTAAACAAAGCTGAACTGCTAGACAATAACAACAGCCTTCAAAGTCAAGCTGAACTTGGAACAAAACCAAATCAAAGTATAAGTCTTCAGGTATACCTGCCTCAGTGTGTTGGAACATGTTTAAACAGGTTTATTAAAATAACTATCACTTCACATGGAAAAATAAGAGTAAAGTGGCCTAGTAAGAAACATGGACCAAATGTCTGCAACATTTTCCTCCAAATCGTTCTTCTTATTACATCAACCCCACCCTTGGAAGCTTCCTTTTTAAAAAAAATCACTCTAACTGCAAACTTGAACAATTCCTATCATTTTCTCTCTGCTCCCTATTGGGTATGACCTTCAAACATGAATCACCTTGGATGTTTTGCTGTGTTAAACTAGTTATGTAAATTTGAGTTCTTGTTGTCATTCCACATTTGTGCACACAATGGACCTTTCTTTCAGTTGCACATAAATAGCAGTATACATCCTAACAGATTTTCTTCTCCTGCATTATTTTGAGTTAATTTAAGAGAAGAATCATCAAAAAGTGACTACCTAAGAATTCTAATTTCTGTAGTTTTATTATACCCAATTTCAATAGTAACACGATATAATTTAAGCCCTTTTATAACAGAAGGAACAGTATCGTACATCACCTTAAATTATGTACTGCTGAGTTTATAAAGCACGTTAGTGGTATCTGGTGGTAGCAGAAAAGAATTGCATGGACTTTAATTCAATGAACTTTGAAGAAAAATCTCTGGGAAATTTCTATATAACCATTGTTTAATTACAAAGCTCATGCAAAGATAGGCCTGAAATTTCCAGTTTGAGGAGGGTAAGTCACTTCTTAGAAGGGACATCATTTTTTATGAACTTCTGGCAGGAGAACGCAAATTAGAGAATTCAAAATTCTATGCTAAATGAACAGTACAGAAATGGCAAAGAAATTTTGTTCAAAAAAAAAGGGAAAGGGAGGTTTTTCATCCATTTTGTGCCTTTAATAAGACCCATTTACTGCTGCAACCCCGGCCAGAGATCGCTCATCATTGATGAATTTTCCCACAATTCTGTGTACATCTTCATGGTATCAGATGTCAGAATGAGAGTCAATGAAATTGTTAGATTAAAGGCTCCTGATTTTGTCTTTACCTCTTAGTTAGGTGGTTTTGTGTGACAAGCACCAACTGTGAGGATTATCTGATTATGGTAGGCTTTAGGATTTTATGACCATGAAGGGTTTTGAAACTGTGTTGATTTTATCAGATTGGAGAAACCCTTTGCATTTTTCCCCCCAATATTTCACAAATATCAATATGTGATCTCTCTCACAGGGTAGGTACAGCAGAATATATTCCACTATTTACTTCACGGAGGATCTAAAGAAGAAGGGAGGTGCTGTGTTAAGCTAAGGTTCACTAGCGTGCCAAATTAGGACCTTTTTGAGTAACTCTGCCTGAGGGCTTGCAAAAAAACACCAGTATAAATACACATTTTATATGATCTGTTGCACAAAGGACTACATGCAAACCATTATCATTATGCCCATTATCATCAAGTATTCCTCTCAGTGGCTTCTTTCAAGTTGTCTTGGGGATTATTTATAATGTCAGAACATCGACTAGGGAATAGCACGAGCATGTATTGAGATTGCAAGATACCCTTTAAAGCACAACAAATCAAACATTAGCTAAGCAAGATAGCAAAGATGACAGATTCTATGAATCTATGCAGTTGCTAGATTCCCAAAGGTCGTTTACAATTGGGGGCACCCATATTATGTTGGCTGTGCTAGTAAAATACCTACTTAGCTACCTAAATCAATTAGAGTTCTGAAATTTAACAATATGCCTTCAACTTCATCCATTTTCTTGGTCTGAAAACTTCAGAGCAGAGAATCAGCTCCACAGTGGCTTCTATGTTAAAAATCAACCCAAACAGCAAGGCACAAATATTAGCCTTACAGCCATGCTGGTAATCAAGAAGATCAAGGGAACGTTGAGAACATCTTCCTTGAGCTGGGAGACATCACGAAGGGATCTTCTTAGCACCACAGATCAGATGTGCCAAGCTATCATAAACTGTTTTACCTTTTGCAATTATAGAGCTAAACATTGACTTATTTGAGGTAGCTGCTTTGGCTCCAATAGATCTAGAGCAACAGCGTAGATCAAGAGGAGATCCAGAATTCATCTAGTTAACATTTCTGGACTGCCTCTCTTGCTAATATATCTTTCCTTAGAAAAGGGGACCAAAAATTAGACATGGAGAGACAGAATAAAGGGGTTTCAGAGTATAAAGGAGGCCTGGGTGAGACATGCATAAATCATTAAAGATGACAGGACAAGTAGAGAGCATTGCTAATAAAGCACATACTATTCTGTGCTTCATCAAGAAGTGCATAGAATAAAACAGCGGGGAACTAGTTTGACTTCAGCTGGATTATGTTTAATTTTGGGTACTATACTGTCAATACATTGTAAAGACTGCAGAAGAGCTTTACAAGAATGGTTCCATGGATGAGACACTCGGTTATGAGGAAAGACTGGAGAAGTTGGGACTGTTTTCCTTGGAGAGGAGAAGGCCAGGAGGAGATTCAATAGAAGTTTTCAAAATCATACAGGGCCTGGACAGAGTGTACAGGGAGAAACTGCTCTTGCTCAAAAAAGGATTGAGAGCCATAGAGAAAAGATTTAAAGTGTCTTGCAAAAGAAGCAAATGCAAGTTAGGCGAAAGAAGTAAACGCAAGTTAGGCCAAATAACTTTTATACACAATGAGGAATTAGGGTCTGGAATTCACTGCCTAGAACTCAGGTGGGGAAAGTGTCAATTGAGTCAGTGAAGAGGGCATTAGATAATACTTTAAATAAAAACTGTGCGTGGTTACAGAGACAAGGCAGATTGGCCTAATCTGCTAAGAAAGAAGTGTCAAGATATTGGTGTTACTATACATTCATTGTGCTTTA